TACAGGCATGCGCTGCCACACCAGGCTTATTTTGTATTTTTACTAGAGACAAAGTTTCTCCGTATTGGTCAGGCTGGTCTCGAACTTCTGACCTCAGGTAATCCACCTGCCTCGGCCTCCCAAAGTGCTAGGATTACAGGAGTGAGCCATTGCACCTGGCCTCCTCTGGATACTTTTATTTATTTATTTATTTATTTAATTTTTTTTGAGACGGAGTCTCGCTCTGTCTCCAGGCGCAGTGCAGAGGCGCGATCTCGGCTCACTGCAAGCTCCGCCTCCCAGGTTCACGCCATTCTCCTGCCTCAGCCTCCCGAGTAGTTGGGACTACAGGCGCTGGCCACCATGCCTGGCTAATTTTTTTGTATTTTTAGTAAAGACGGGGTTTCACCGTGTTAGCCAGGATGGTCTTGATCTCCTGACCTTGTGATCTGCCCGTCTCAGCCTCCCAAAGTGCTGGGATTACAGGCTTGAGCCACCACACTCAGCCGTCTCCTCTGGGTAGTTTTAAAGATTTCATCTTTATCACTGGTTTTCAGTAAATTGGCTATATGTTTTGATGTGTGTGTGTGTGTGTGTGTGTGTGTGTGTGTATGCATGATTACCCTCTTGAGGTTTACTGAACTTCTTATATATGGAGATTTATAGCTTTCACTGAACTTCAAAATCACCCCTCCCTCCCATTCCTTTCCTCCTGAGATTCCAATTACATTTATGTTAGATTGCTTGATGTTATTGCAAAAGCTACTTATTTATTCAGCTTCTGTGTGCTTTAGTTTTGATTGATTTGATTTTAAGTCTTACATTCTTAGTTTTTTTCTTCTGCAGTATTTAATACCATCCAATAAAGTTTTCATTTCATATACTATATTTTTTATCTCTAGAAGTTCCATTAGGTTCTTTTTTTATATCTTTAATTCTGTCCTTATTATGCTTAGGTTGTCTTTAAAATCCTGGGACATACTGAGCATCTTTATAACAGCTGTTAGTGTTCTTGCCTGCTAGTTTTATTATTTCTGTTAATCTACACCACTTTCTATCAATTATTTTTTGTTTTATTTTTGACAAATAATAATTGTATATATTTATGGGGTACAACGTGATGTTTTAATATGTGTTTACATTGTAGAAGGATTAAATCAAGCTAATTAACAAATTCATCACCTCACATATTTTTGTGGCGAAAACATTAAAAACCTACTCTTTCAGCAATTTGGAAAAATACATTGCATTTTTATTTATTATTGTCACCATTCTGTGCAATTGAGCACTAAAGCTTATTCCTCTTGTCTAACTGAAACTTTGTACCCTTTGATGAACATCTCTCTTTTCGCCATCCACCCTCCTCCTCCAGCCTCTGATAATCATTGTTCTACTCTGCTTCTATGAGTTCAACTGTTCTGGATTCTGCATATAAGTGGAATCTTATGGTATGTGTTCTTCTGGGCCTGGCTTATTTCACTTACCACAATGTCCTCCAGGTTCTTAATGTTGTCACAAATGACAGAATTTCCTTCTTTTTTAAGGCTGAATAATATTCCATCGTGTATATATACCACATTTTCTTTATCCATTATATGATGATAAATACATAGGTTGGCTCCATATCTTAGCTACTCATAATAATGCTGCAGTGCATATGGGAGTGCAGGTACAAAACTGTTTATCAATATGCAGAGGAATGAAATTGGATACTTATTTCACACCACATAAAAAAATTAACTTGGCTGGGCATGGTGTCTCATGCCTATAATCCCAGCACTTCGGGAGGCTGAGGTGAGTGGATTGCTTGAGCTCAGGAGTTCAAGATCAGCCTGGGCAAGAGAGTGAAACCTTGTCTCTACAAAAAATATGAAAATTAGCTGGGCATGGTGACTTGCATCTGTAATCCCAGCTACTTGGGAGGCTGAGGTGGCAGGATTGCTTGACCCCAGGAGGCAGAGGTTGCAGTGAGCTGAGATTGTTTCACTGCACTCTAGCCTGGGTGACAGAGTAAGACTCCATCACAAAACAAAACAAAACAAAACAAAACAACAAAACGATTGGGAAGTAAATTTGGCAAAGAAAATACGATTAGATTTTTTAATAAAAGAAAAAAAATCAACTCAAAATAGATTAAAGACTTAAATATGAGACTCCCTAGACTGTAAAATGGCTAGAAGAAAACAGAAGGGGAAAGCTACATGACATTGGTGTAGGCAAAGATTTCTTGGATATGACCCCCAAAGCACAGGCAAAAAAAGCAAAAATAAACAAACGGGATTGAATCAAACTGAAAAGCTTCTGCGTAGCAAAGGAAACAAGAGAAAGAGGGGACAACCCACAGATTAGGAGAAAATATTTACAAACCATACATCTGATAAAGGGTTAATATAAAAAAATATAAAGAACTTCATCAACTATTTTTACTCCTGTTTATGGGTCACATTTTCCTGCACATTCATATATTTAATAATCTTTAATTTGACGCTAGTCATTGTGAAGGTTGTATTTTTGAGTGTCTTGATTTTGTTGCCTTTTTTAAAAGCATTTTCTTACTCAATTTTGAAAGTGTTTTTCTGGCCACACAAGTCATTTATTAGATATTTGCCTTGTGAATATATGTTTTTTCCATCTGTGGCTTGTCTTTTCATTTTAACAGTGTTTTTGGAGAACAAAAGTTCTTCATTTGGATGAAGCCCATCATCACATTATTTCTTTAAGGATTGTGCTTTTGGTGTCATATTTAAGAAATCTGAGGCTAGGTGCAGTGGTTCATGCCTGTAATCCCAGCATTTTGGGAGGCAGGAGGATCACTTGAGTCCAGGAGTTCAAGACAAGCCTGGGCAATAGAGCAAGACCCACTCTCCACAAAAAATTTTAAAATTATCTGGGTATCGTGGTTTGTGCCTGTAGTACCTGCCACTTGGGAGGCTGAGGTGAGAGGACTGCTTGAGCCTAGGAGTTCAAAGCTGTAGTCAGCTATGATCGTGCCATTACACTCCAACCCAGGTGATGGAGAGAGAGAGACCTTGTATCTAAAAAAAACCCCCCAAAACAAAAAAGAAATAAAAATAAATCTGAGGCCAGGTGCAGTAGCTCACTCCTGTAATTCCAGCACTTTTGGAGGCTGAGTCAGGAGGACTGCTTGAGGCAAGGAGTTTGAAACCAGCCTGGGCAACATAGTGAGACTCCATCTCTAAAAAAAAAAAAAAAAAAAAAAAAAAATTAAAAAAATTTAGCTGCGTGTGGCAGTGCGCACCTGTAGTCCCAGTTACTTGGGAGGCTGAGGCAAAGGATCTCTTGAGTCCAGGAGTTCAAGTCCACTTGATCGTGCCACTGCACTCCATCCAGGGTGACAGAATGAGACCCTGTCTCCGACAAATAAACAAATAAATAAAGAACAAATAAAATATCACAATCATATGATGGATACTGGAATCTTTAGCATAAATGAACTACACATATTTATAAGTCATCTCAAAAATAAAAGTTGAGAAAAAAAGTAAACTGGAGAATATGAGGTAGTTACATAAATTTAATTGTCCAGAAAACAACATAAACATTGCTTATTTATATCTATACATATATATATGTATATGTAGCATTCATATATTGACTAGGATGATATCCACCAGCTTTGTGTCATGATGTGAATCCTCTGGGAACGGGGGAGAAGAGTGGGCACAAAGGATATGACAACATTATCTGTAATATTTTCTTTCCTTTATAGTTAAAAAGACATTAAGGAAATACTACCAAGAAATAATGACTGCCAATTCAGGGCGATGGACTCAAGAGCATGAAAAAACTCTCAAAAATAAATTAGACCAAATGTCCATGCAGTGAAGCTGAGTGGGTACCCCTGAGAGGAAATCAAGGTGAAGCCCACACTGCCCTGAAATTCAGGAATACCCATTGGTTAAAGTACATAGAATATGTCATTGTACAAGCTGCTGCTGGAATGAAAGTGTCACAACTTCCTCCCTACTTTCCCTCATTAAATATTGCTTTCACTAAGTTTTAAATTCTTGTTTTTTCATTTTCTTTCTTTTTTTTGAGATGGAGTCTTACTCTGTTGCCCAGGCTGGAGTGCAGTGGCATGATCTCGGTTCACTGCAACCTCTGGCTCCCAGGTTCAAGCGATCTTCCTGCCTCATCCCCGCTAGTAGCTGGGATTACAGGCACACGCCACCATGCCCGGCTAATTTTTGTATTTTTAGTAGAGACGGGGTTTCGCCGTGTTGGCCAGGGCTAGTCTCAAACTCCTGACCTCAGGTGATCCACCCCCCCTCGGCCTCCCAAAGTGCTGGGATTACGGGCGTGAGCCACCGCGCTGGGCCCTTAAATTCTTATTTGTAGAAACACTTCCAAAAGGTCCAGAGCATTCATTACATTTGAATGTTGTTTATTTGCTATCTAATCTAATATGCATTTATCTTGATTGTCCAGGACCAGGAAAAGGAGTTAAGGAAAGCAAGCGGAAAGTAAAATCAGTGATCAGAAGCACCTCAGGGGATGTTGGGAGAAAATCGTATAGGTAAACTCATAACTGCAAAAAGAAGGAAAGACAATGATCTGGATTGGAGAGAACGGATAGGTGTAGGGAGGTGATGAAAAAAAGGGGGGAATTTGAAAGAACACTGAAGGGAACTTTAAGCAAGAGTAGGGGTGAAACTGAGGATAGAGTTGGCTGAAGGGGACAAAGGCAGAAGTAACAGCTCCTGCAGTAAAGGCAGAAGTAACAGCTCCTGCAGCAAAGGCAAGGGATCTGAAAATCTATGACTGGTTATGTGTGGTCTACTCTTCTTGGTAAAGGTGCTTGCCAGAATCTGCTTTTCTTTTTTCATGTCCTTGCTTGCCATTTACCAAGGAATTCTGCCAAGAAACCAACCAACCAGCCAGCCAACCAACCAACCCACCCAAACAACAGTAATCCAACTGCCCACTGTCGACGAATGAAGATGCTGCATTTCTGGGCGGTGGCAAGTCCTCAAAGTGAGTCTTGGAGGATCCACAAGAACCCGCAGCTGGTCGCAAGGGATTGTGGGAAGCAGTTCATTCCTGGAACAGTCGTCTGCGGGCCTTGCACTGAGGGCGTTCCGGGAGAGGTGGGCGCGCGTGGGGACCTGGACTCCCCACGCGCGGAGAGGGAGGTAGAGTTTGGAGAGGTGAGCTGGGGACAGGCTCCAGAAGGTGGAATTCTGGGTCGAAGATGGGGCGTGGAGAGAGTCTCTCTGAACTGGGGTTGGGGGCCAGAGCACAGGACCCTGGAATGGGGCCCTCCCGGTAGAGACTGAACACACTACTAGCGAAGGGGTAGAGCCCAGCGGCTGAGCCGGTTGGGGAGTCCATCCAGAGCTCCGGGAACTCGGGGTCCGCCTCCTCCTCGTAGGCCTCTTCCTGGGCGGCGATCTCTGGGACAGATGCGCAGAAGACTTCCTGCTCCACGACGACGTCCTCCCTGAGAGCGCCCAGGAAAACGTCCACTTCCAGGCCGGCAGACGAGTCGCCCTGTGCTGAGCGTTCGTCGACGGAGCTTAGGAGGACCTCGGGGATCAGGATGAGGGTGTGTCCACCGAGAGACACTCGCAGGATCGATGTCGGCGGGAGCTCCAGCACCAGGTCGACGTTGTCCAGGGGCACACGCAGGGCACAGCCTGTGGCCAGGACCACCACGGAGATGACCGCGCCCACGGCCGGGATCCCCACCGGGTCTTCCAGGCTGGGCGTCACGCGGGGTTCGGGACCCGCGGGCTCCTCCAGTCGGAGACATTTGGCAGGGCCGGGTCCTCCTGGCTGCTGCCCCAACCAGGGCGCAGGGCAGGCGCTGGGGCTGCGGGGCCGGCTGCCCATCACCTCGACGGCGCTGTGGAAGGCGCTCCTGGGCCTAGCAGAGGACGTGGGGAGAGAGGGCGGCGAAGTCCTCCTTGAGGACTTTGGTAGGCAAGGCGGGTTGGGGCAAAAGCGGCAAAGGACCGCGCGGCCCTGGGCGAGTCCTCAGAGATCCAGGGACGCCTCCCGGAGACCGCAGTTTGTACTGCTCTGAGAGCCTCGCGCGACGGAATCTTCGGCTTTTCTAGCGCGGACCCGGATGCACGTCCGATGACTAATAACGTGGGACGTCAGATGACCTGGGCGCGCCAGAATGTGTCAGTATATGCCCCGCCTCCCGACAGTGCTCTGCGGCGGGCGTGGCCTAGAGATGATTGGATCAATTAGAGCAAGAGCGAGGTGGGGAGGGGGGGGGGGGGGGGGTCTTTGTGTCTGGAGGGCAAGATTCCTTGGGTGTGCTCGTGGGACCCAATGGCGGTAATTGCTTTTACTCTTGGTTAAGAAAAGCCAAAACACAATTTCAAAAACTGCTTGCTTACTTTTAGAAGTAGCTTATAGCTAAATGTCTCTTCTAAGATTTTCCAGGAATATACGAAAAATACTCATTGCTCCTTCCCCATCCTTCCTACGTTGTACTAAAAAGTTCTTTCATTTGTGATAGAAATTAGAAATGAAAATTTTGCTTTAATAAATAAACTTTAATTTTTGTGGGTACATAGTAGGTATGTATATTCATGGGTTAAATAAGATACTTTGATACAGGCCTGCAATATGTAGTAATCACATCATGGTAAATGGTATATTCATCCTCTCCAGCATTTATCCTTTGTGTTACAAACAATCCAATTATACTCTCTTAGTTATTTTAAAATGTACAATTAAATTATTATTGACTATAGTCACCCGGTTGTGCTATCGAATACTAAGTTTTACTTCATTTTTTCTATTTTTTTGTACCTATTAACCATTTCTATTTGCCCCCACCCTCACTACCCTTCCCGGCTTCTGGCAACCATCCTTCTACTCTCTCCGTACATTCAATTGTTTTAATTTTTAGCTGCCATAAATAAGTGAGAACATGAGAAGTTTGTTTTTTGTGCTTGACTTATTCCACTTAACATAATGACCTCCAGTTCCATCCATGTTGTTGCTAATGACAGGATCTCATTCTTTTTTATGGCTGAATAGTATTCCGTTGTGTATATGTATCACATTTTCTTTATCCATTCATCTGTTGATGGATACTTAGGTTGCTTCCAAATCTTGGCTATTGTGAATAAAACTCCAATAAACATGGGAGCACAGATATATCTTCAATATCCTGCTTTTCTTTCTTTTGATTATATACGTGGCAGTGAGATTGCTGGATCATATGGTAGCTCTATTTTTAGATTTTTGCAGAACCTCTCAACTGTTCTCCTCTCCATAATGGTTTTTATGAGTTTACATTCCCACCAACAGTGTATGAGGGTTCCCTTTTCTCCACATCCTTGCCAGCATTTGTTATTTCCTGTCTTTTGGATAAAAGCCATTTTAACTGGGGTAAGATGATATCTCATTGTAGTTTTGATTTGCATTTGTCTGATGATCAGTGATGTTGAGCACCTTTTCACATAGCTGTTTGCTATTTGCATGTCGTCTTTTGAGAAATATTTATTCAGTTATTTTGCCCATTTGTAAATTGGATTATTAGATTTTTTTTTCGTATAGAGTTGTTTGAGCTTCTTATGTATTCTGGCTATGAATTCCTTGTCAGATGAGTAGTTTGCAGATAATTTCTTTCATTCTGTGGGTTGTCTCTTCAGTTTGTTGATGTTTCCTTTGCTGTGTAGAAGCTTTTTAACTTGATGTGATCCCATTTGTCCACTTTTGCTTTGGTTACCTGTGCTTGTGGATTATTACTCAAGAAATCTTTACCCAGATCAAAGTCCTGGAGAGTTTCCCCAATGTTTTGTTATAGTAGTTTTATATTTTAAAGGTTTTTTTTTTTTTTAGCAGAGTTTTGCCCTTGTTGCCCAGGCTGGAGTGCAATGGCGTGATCTCGGCTCACTGCAACCTCCGCCTCAGGGGTTCAAGCAATTCTCCTGCCTCAGCCTCCCGAGTAGCTGGGATTACAGGCATCTGCCACCATGACTGGCTAAATTTTTTTTTTTTGTATTTTTAGTAGAGATGGGGTTTCACCACGTTGGCCAGGCTGATCTTGAACTCCTGACCTCAGGTGATCAGCCTGCCTTGGCCTCCCAAATCCTCTGCTGGGATTACAAGCATGAGCCACTGCACCCGGCCATATTTTGAGGTCTTAAATTTAAATATTTAATTCATTTTTATTGATTTTTGTATATGGTGAGAGATAGGGGTCTAGTTTCAGTCTTATGCATATGGATATCCAGTTTTCCCAGCTCCATCAATTGAAAATCAGGATGTTGAAGAGATATCTTCTCTCCCATGTTTGTTGGAGTATTATTCACAATAGCCAAGATTTGGAAGCAACCTAAGTATCCGTCAATAGAGGAACAGACAGAGAAAATGTGGTACATATACACAATGGAGTACTATTCAGCCATAAAAAGGAATTAGATCTTGTCATTAGCAACAATGAGTAGAGAGATAATGTGTTGGCCAGGTGTGGTGGCTCACATCTGCAGTCCTAGCACTTTGGGTGGTCAAGGTGGGCAGATTCCTTGAACAATTTTAAAAAATTATTATTAAGAAAGAGATATAATGTGTTTGCCATATTTTTCTGCTGTTCTATTTCATCTATTGTTTTTTCTTTTTTTCTTTTTTTTTTTTTGAAATGCAGTCTCGCTGTTTCACTCAGCCTGCAGTGCGGTGGTGCAGTGGTGTGATCTTGGCTCACTGCAACCTGTGGGTCCTGGGTTCAAGCGATTCTCATGCCTCAGCCTCCCGAGTAGTTGGGATTCTAGGTGTGTGGGATCATAGCCATGCCTGGTTAATTTTTATATTTTTAGTAGAAATGGGGTTTCACCATGTTGGCCAGGCTGGTCTTGAACTCCTGACCTCAAGTGATTTGCTTGCCTCGGCTTCCAAAAGGCTGGGATTGCAGGTGTGAGCCACCACTCCTGGCCCCCGTGTATGTTCTTAGCAGCTTTGTTGAAAATGAGTTCACTGTAGATGTATGGATTTGTTTCTGGGTTCTCTATTCTGTTCCATTGGTCTATGTGTCTGTTTTTATGCCAATACATGCTGTTTTGGTTACTATAGTTTTGTAGTAGGATTTGAAAGCAGGTAATGTGATTCTTCCAGTTTTATTCTTTTTGCTCAGGTCAGCGTTGGCTTTCTAGGTCTTTTGTGGTTTCATAAAAATTTTAGGATTTAAAAAAAAATTTCTGTGAAGAATGCCATTGGCATTTTGATAGGTATTGAATTGAATCTGTAGATTGCTTTGGGTAGTATGGACATTTTTAACAATATTGAGTCTTCCAATTCATAAACATGGGGTATCTTTCCACTCTTTTGTGTCCTCTTCAATTTCTTTCATCAGTGTTTTATAGTTTTCACTGTAGAGATGCTTCACTTCTTTGGTTCAGTTAATTCCTAAGTATTTAATTTTATTTGTGACTATTGTAAATGGGATTACTTTTCCGATTTTTTCTTCAGATTGTTCACTGTTGGCATTTAGAAATGCTACTGATTTTTGTACGTTGATTTTGTATCCTGCAACTTTACTGAATTTGTTTATCAGTAGTAATAGTTTTTGTGTGGGGTCTTTAGGTTTTTCCAAACATAAGATCATATAATCTGCAAACAAGGATAATTTGACTTCTTCGTTTCCAGTGTGGATGCCCGTTATTTCTTTCTGTTGTCTGATTGCTCTAGCTAGGATTTCCAGTATTATGTTGAATAACAGTGGTGAATATGGGCATCCTCGTCTTGTTTCAGCTCTTAGAGAAAAGGCTTTCAGGTTTTTCCCATTCAGTATGATACTAGCTGTGGGTCTGTCATATATGGCTTTTATTGTGTTGAGGTGTGTTCCTTCTATACCCAGTTTTTGAGAAGTTTTTAATCATAAAGGAATGTTGACTTTTATTATATGTTTTTATAGTATGAATTGAAGTGATATGGTTTTTATCTTTCATTCTGTTAGTATAATGTATCACATTGATTGATTTGCATGTGTTGAACCATCGTTGCATCCCTGGGATAAATCCTAGTCGATCATGATGAATGATCTTTTAAATATATTGTTGAATTTGGTTTGCTAGTATTTTGTTGAGGATTTTTTGCATCAATATTCATCAGAGATATTGGCCTGTATTTTTCTTTTTTTGAAGTATCTTTGGCTTTGATATCAGGTTAATACTGGTTTCATAGAACGCATTTGGCAGTATTCTCTCCTTCTGTATTTTTTGGAATAGTTTGAGTAGGACTGGTATTAGTTATTCCTTAAATGTTTGGTAAAATTCAGCTGTGAAGCCATCGGCTCTCAGACCTTTTTTTTTTTTTTTTTTTAACTGCGAGACTGTTTATTATGGCTTCCATGTCATTACTTATTATTGGTCTGTTCAGGTTTTGAATTTCTTCATGGTTTAATCTTGGTAGGTTGCATGTATCTAGGAATTTAAAAATTCCTCTGGATTTTCCAATTTATTGGTCTATAGTTGCTCATGATAGCCTCACTAATGGTCCTTTGAATTTCTGCACTATCAGTTGTAATGTCTCCTTTTTCATCTTTGATTTCATTTATTTGGTTCTTCTCTTTTTTTTTTTTCTTTTTTTTTGAGGCAGAGTCTTGCTCTGTCTCCCAGGCTGGAGTGCGGTGGCGCGATCTCGGCTCACTGTAACCTCCACCTCCTGGGTTCAAGTGATTCTCCTGCTTCAGCCTACTGGGTAGCTGGTACTACAGGCGTGTGCCACCATGCCAGGCTAATTTTTTGTATTTTTAGTAGAGATGGGGTTTCACCGTGCTAGCCAGGATGGTCTCGATCTCCTGACCTCATGATCCATCCATCTCAGCTTCCCAAAGTGCTGGGATTACAGGCGTGAGCCACCGCGCCAGCTGG